CTGCACCACTAGAGCATGATGGGAGCAGAGAGCAGGGCTGCTGGGAGCCAGAGGGCGGCAGGAGAGGATTGTGGGTAATCAGACCTTTTACTGTTCATCACTGACCTTCACCACGTCTGCAGGGTTTTATCTGTTACTGAGCCGTTCATCGATCTGCTCAGAATGAACCTTGGTCTCGACAGAAACCTTCCCACAGGTCAGTTTTACCTGATGAACCTAAACCTGCCTGACGCTGTCCAATGAGACTCACCGGCGACAACCTCCCACAGCTTCACCCTGCGGTCCATCCCTCCCGTTGCTAGGAGACGGGAGCCGGGGCTGAACCTCACAGCGTTCACTTCGCCATCGTGGGCTTCCTGAATGCAAACAGACGGGTGATGCTGCTGATTAATCGTTCCTAGTTTTAGTCATTAATAAAGGTCCCTATTAAAAACATATCAGCTTATAAAGCAGCAGCAGAAGGTCACGTATGTGTGAAGATGTGCTGTAGGTCAGCTGTAGGACCTGGCTGACAAAGACCTCCACCCAGACCTCATGTGTTTACAACTAGCTGAACTTTACCAGGACGCTGATTGAATTACTCAGGGTTTAATGAAACTTTACTGACAAATGTCACTCGTTCTTTGATGGAGACGTGTCTGCTGGGCAGTCTGAACCAGTCTCCCAGTGAAACCATCAGTGCTGCTCGACTGGCGCAGAAGATACTCACGAAGACGTGCAGCGCTGTGGACGGCACTCGGACCTCTGCACAAACTCCTGAAGGCGCCTCGGTGCTCTCCGGTGAAGTGCTGAAAGAGTTGGCAGTTCGACGCCTGCTGAGGAAGAGCAGCATTAAAACCCATCTGTGTCACTACAGAAGCCTGGAAGGGACAGTTCACACACCGAGCTGCTTGTAACGTCTTCAACTAAACCGCAGAGTCACAAGACGGAGGGCGGCGGGTAAAACCAAGAGCAGAACTGGACGAGAACAACCTGGTCTCAGTCCGGTCCAGTTCTGTCTTCACCCATTGATCAGTTAAGAGTCCATTAAACAGCCGGGTTGGGTTAGATTCAGTCTGCTGCTAAGTAACGAGGGAAGCCAGACTCCACCTTCAGCGCCTGTTTCCACACAGCTTCATCTGAGTGAAATCACCAAGAGGAACCTTTACTCCTCTCCAGAGTGAAGCTTCACTGTTTGTTTCCAGTCTGGAACTTCTCTCGAGTACATTGGAAAGTTTTCACTTTTGTGATGGATTATGCAGAGACGGGACTGTCTGCCAGGAAGTTGGACAAATCGGCTAACAGGCTGTATGACTGAACACTCATTTAGCTGGTTTAACACGTACTAGCTGCGTAGCAGATTAGTCATTATTTGTCATAAATAATGCAACTGATTGACATATATTTGCAGATAGAGCAGCAGATGAAGGACTACATGTCAGATAATGTGTGTAGATTAGCTGTAGTACCTGTTTGCTCCACCAGGTGTCACTCAGACTAGAGTTTCGCTATCAATGGGCACCATGACAAAGACTTCTGTGGAAGTTAATGACCTCCAACCAATGACTAAAGCGGCCCTGATGGTGAACCGATCTAGCGAGGAATATTACCTTTACTGTTAGAAAGTGGAAAGCTATCCACTGTGCATCACCGACTTTAAACAATTCATTGATTATTGATTGACAAATACTTCTGTGGTGGTTTGTAGCTTCTGGTCAGAGTTGATCAAGTCAAGAGGAGCTGAAATCTTCTGGTAGAGCAGCTGAATGACGGCGTGGACAGAACATATGTACGAGAGGTAAACGTAGCTCTGTCAGCACACTGTGACTCATTCATACAACCTATTCCTTGATCATTAATTGATTACTCTGCATTCCCAGTGCACAGACACTGCCGCATGTCCAGAAACAAACCATTAAAAACACTGGCTCCAAACCTGCAGGACAACCTCCTCGCTCATTTCCCATCATGCATCACTGCCCCAGTTCTTGTGCAGTAACGCTGCGTATCCCATAAACATGTTAAATAGCCTCTCTCTCGTTGACCAGCGGGTGGCGCTGTCCGTATATTATCCACCAAACAGCTGAGTGGAAACAAGGCGTCAGATGGAGGCAGCTGGTTTGAATCTTCCTCAGACTTTAACTTGAGCTCAGGGTTTCTGGATGAACCGATATCAGCGCCAGCAGCTACCAGTTAGGTTAACCTTCAGCTTTAGTCCGACTCGAAGCCACTCGTCAGAGAATCCCATGAGAGGCTGTTTAACCCGTGAGCTCTCATCTTTCATCTACGTTTGTCTACATCACAGTATTCATCTTACAACCTTCACTGAGGTGGTGGGAAAAGGTCCTGAAGGACATTTTAGAGTGTAGATGTTAACATTTCTCTGCAGTGGTGAGTTCATGAGCAATTAAATCAGCAGTAATGAAGCAGAGCTGAATGCAGGTTAAACGATAAATCACACTCACAAAGGTCAAGTCGTGCACTTCCACTGGATATGTGGAAACACTTGGAGAGCAACTCAAGACCAAAAGGATGAGTTTGGATAAAAAGCTGGACAATTCAATAGACGACGACAAACGATGCACTCTGAGACACAAAATTCTAATTCTGCAAGAAAACAAAATGCAGCCGAGAAGAGATTTAACAGATCCCATCCTCGGCTTGGAGTCCATGTGGGAGCAGGTGAAGCTGTTTATATTAACTCCGTCTGCAGCTGAATCAGCTGTAAACCTCAGAGCTGCAGGGAAACCTCAACCCTCACCATTTAAACAAACTGACATTTGAAGGGTTAAAATCCTGAAAGTGAACATTTGGTATTTATGATGAAGAGTGAAACTGATGAACACTGTTAGCGTTTGTATGGCAGCATTTCTGGAGCGAGTTCAAGTGTGTGTTCATCTGAACTCAAGAGAAACTTCACTTTCTTCTAATTCAGACGCTAAAGTTTTCTGTGTCTGGACTGTTTTTAATTTTTTACTTCAAGACTTCAGCGGTAAAAATATGAAGCCTTGATAAGACGAGTGAACAGAATGAGGCTCTAGCAGGACATCAGGGACATTTTACACGAATGAAAAACCATGTTCAAGTGCTGCTGGCTCAGATATCCGTCTGCTCTACAGGTGAGAACTGGCTACCTACAGGTGGGAAACACCTGAGGACACCTGCAGATGTTAGGGTTTAAATCACAAACATCACAGACTCTCTACATGCCTTCTCAGCTGATTATTGATTTAGTGCGGACATTATTGATCACATCACTACAAACCTCACTCCGTCAGCAGCCAATCACAGAGGAGCTCTGCAGGTACAGCACACACCTCCACCATGCTGCAAACTGCTGCTGTCAGCTTTGACACAGCAGCAGGTTTACACACAAATCTGAACCAAACTCCCAGAAAATCTGCAGAAACAGTCGAAGTTCATGTTTCCATCCACAGCTGCTGGTCAGTCAGGAAGCATCAGGACCTGACGGGTCAGGACCTGACGGGTCAGG